AATCTTGTAAAAAAATATAAAAACTTAATAAAATAGATGAACTCAGTGTTTTTGCTGAAAATAAAACAGGATCCTTTTCTGACATCACAAATGCAAACAAAAAAAATCTATTTCATATGCATTCTATTTATATTATTGAGCTTCCAAGCAAGACCTTATTTGAATAGGATTTCTAAAAAATTAAATCCCTGAATTGGATAGTTTCCATTACCTGCCTAGTGGTAACCTTGGTTAATCTTAGTTGAACTGATTAAAATAGAGTACTCTCTTTACTTTGAAACTTTCTTATAGTCCTCATAATTCCAACTTATAAACAAACACAAGTGCCACACACTTAAATGTGTTTGTATATCCTGTTTGCATAAATATTTTTGAGATTTCTGTTTCTTAGTATCAGCAATAAGAGAGTATTATAGAAATTAATAATAATGTGATGATTAATAGAAAATCTCCCTGCATCTGATGTGGACGCTTTACTTTAAGCTTGACAGACCTGAATTCACAGTCCAGCTCTAACACTTGCTGGTTGAATAACTAAGTCTCTATTTCATCATCTGTAAACCAAAGTTCTTAAAAGTATTAAATGATGTAGGAAAAATTCAGCATGGTGCTAGGTACATGGTAAGGACTCAATAGATGGTAAAGATTACTCTCCAATATACATTTTTATTTATCAGTATTTAAAACAGAAGGTATAGTATAGAATCTAATACAAAGTCCCTCCAAATAATAGCAAAATTATCTTAAATCCCTTTTTGTGAAGTCATTCATCAATCTTTCTATAAATAATCCCTGATATGAACTCTAATGGGTACTGTGCTAGGCATGGGACATATCCTGACAGACAAGACACATCTCTACATTTATGAGTTACACCTTGAAGATAGAAGCAGGCAAGAAAGTCACTGTTTACCACATGAAGGAATGAGGACCACAATAGAGAAATTCATTGAAGATTAAGAAATCAGATAAGGGACAGCTAGGGGAGAAAGAAGTAACTATCTGGAGGAAAAAGAAAGATGTTTGAATTATATCAAGGATAAAAATGGGAATTAACCAGGCTGTTGAGGTATGTCATTTTCTGGGCAAAGGACATACGTAACTCACATCTTAGGGCAACATTTTCTCTGGGTGAGATGAAATGTAAAAATCTGGAATTCAGTCTAGATTCTACTTTCCCCTATATGTCATCAGTGAATCATCAGCAAATACACTAAGGTTTAATTCAAAATATATCCAGACTCTGACATCTCATCACTGCTACCACTTTTTCAAACCTAACATTACTGATTACTCACATCCTGATTATTGAGTGACCTCCTCAATTGGTCTCCCACTCTATTCCAGGCTCACTGCTCCCCTGACCACATTATTAAAGAAATAGATCTGATGTCACCTCTTTGCTCAAAATCCTCAAACTTTCTGTCTCGCTCAAAAGAAAACCCAATATCTTACATGTAAACCCCTAAATGCTCACTTCCTATTCCTTATGCTTCTGATCTTTCCTATCTCTAATGCTCCCCAACTCCTAATTTGCTTGCCTCACTCCCCTTGTTCTTCCTCAAATCTTCCATATGAGCTCCTAGATCAGTGTCTTCAAATTGCTGTTCTTTTTGCCTAGATCATTCTCCCCATTCCCCCAGCACCCAGTATTTTCATATCTTGTTCATTCACCTGCTTCAGGTTTAATTTAAATGTCCCCTTCTCAACAAGACCTGTCTTAGCCATTCTATTTAAATTTTCAGCACTGTATATATACACTCCCTTTCTCACCTCCTGGCTTAAGATTGACTATTTCTGCTCATTGTAGCCCCAGCACTTAAAATTACAGGCATTCACCCAATGTCTTGAATTAACTGATTAGTTAATGGAAGAAGGGAAATCAGTTAAAGGGCATTTTAAGTAATACAAGTAAGTTAATGACAGCCAGAATAAAGGAATAAAGAGAAAGATTTAGGAGGTAGAATAAGCACTGTTTAGTGACTACTTGAATGTTGAAAGTGATCAAAGAGGGATCAAGTGCAACTAAATTCTGGGTCCCAAACTAAGGTACCAGGTAGATGGTAGTAATATTTACCAATATAAATAATAATGGGGAATGAAGGCCCATTGAGGGGAAAGATAAGATCAGATTTGAACTATATTTAACGGGGTTGTAAAGCAATCATGAGAGGTACAATGGATATTTGGAAACAATGCTATGAAAGTCAAAGATAGATGACCTAAGGGTCTATCTTGGGAAACATTATCCTATTGCATATTTGTGGAAACCATGACATACAATGGGATCATTGAGAAAGAATGCATAGCAGAAGACTGCGGTGGACCAGATCTTTGTCACTGTTACACTTGAAATCTTATTTAAATGGACAACAAATTGTCTAAAATTTCCACATATACATACTAAGTGTATGTAAATTTACAATTACCCTGTTGTTGTTTACCTCCATATTTACAAATAATGAAAAGCTATTGCCAGCTGACTATTCATCCACAGTTATACATATAACTATGTGTCATTGGGAGGGATTAGTATTCCAACACAAATCTGTTAATGTAAGATGTATATTCAAATTTAAATTAAATTAATAATTTTATTGCACACTTATTATGTGTAAGACAAAGTCATAGATGTTTAGTAGGCATCTGATCAATGCTGATACCATTTGTTTCCCCCAAGATAAGGCAGGATAGTCCCAAAGTCAAAATTCAGACAGCATGTACAAAAATTCCCTCCAATAGGTTACAAAGCAAATATTGTGTATAGCTTAATTTGTGTTAACATAGCTTTGTGATCAGCCACAGTTTAACAAGTTAACAAGAAAGCAGGTATTTTTTCAGCTGTCTCTACAGGATGGAACACTTCATTCTTATGCAATTTATTATGGCTTGTGAGATTAAGGTAATTTGGGCTCCACACCCTTTGTTTATTGAGTCATGTGTCTCATGGTGCTTCTCAGTCATTGAGTTTAACGTGTTTTCAGTGAAAGCAAAGTTAGCTCTAAAGTCATTCCCATGGGAGACTCATCCAAGCTAAAGTATATGATGACTCCAGCCTTTGGTTTTTGTTTTCTGGGGTTCTGACTTCCAACTGAATCCTGTTTTTCAGCACTTCTCACCACACATACATAAATCGTGACACATCAGATCATCTCCAGAAAAATTACCAATCCCTTGTAGGTATAGAGAGACTCTACCAGTTCAAAACACAGGCTTTAGGGCTTACCCTTTCTTCCAACTCTGCCTCCTTTTGACTCTCCTATGCCTCTCAGAAACCACTAACACTCCACTCACAAATACCAAATACCGTGCATTTGTGATCACATCTCATTGGCACACAGAAGAGAACATGAATTAACAAGCTCAAAAAGACAGCAAAGGCCAAAGTGCCAATTTTCTCCCACTCAAAAATCACCACAGCAGAGTTTCCCAAAGGTCAGACTCAACCATGTCAGTGAAAGTTAGTTATGTCTGGCATAGCAAAACGAACAAGAGGAATGTAGAAAGAAGACATCATAAAGTTAATTAAATTATTCATCTTGTTATTATTCTGAGATCATGTCTGCCAACTTTTATGTATTTAAATACTCTTTTATTAAATGATGTTTGAGCATTTTTTTAAATGTGTTTATATAACAAAATTGAAAGTTGGCAGGTCTGTGTGTATCTCCAATAGTCTGAAATGTTACTGGTCCACAGAATACAACCTGTAGGCAGTCCACTAAAAATACTGAGAGGTGCCCTTTATAGGTCTATTGAGTTGGTAGAGCCCAAACACAACCAGGCAACACTTCTGTGAAGTCTATTTGTCATGAAATCACTGACCCTCAAAGCATTCCCTTCACACTTACAGTGAAATGTTAGCAAAACAAACAGGAAAAATGAAAGTTAAATTGTATTTTGGCTTCATGTAGCTGCTTTCTGTTCTGTTAAGGCTTTTAAATCCAAAATATACCTAGGAGTTAACATGCAACAAGTATTTATAAATATTTATGAACCATCTGTATATGCCATTCATCTTACATAGTGTCAGAAACATAAGTATCCATACCATCCTCACTCTCAACACCTAAGACTATCATCATTAATCTCCAAAACAGCCTTGTGAGACAAAAATTATGCTTTCTATAAATGAAGTCAGAAAAATTACACCCTGATCTCCAAGCAAGCCAAGAACAGAACAGCAATTTACATTAAACTCTTCTGGCTACATCCCCAGTTTTAGTGTGTGTGGGGGGGAGGCATGCGTGCGTGTGCATGTGTGTGTGTGTGTGTGTGTGTGTGCACGTGCGCATCAGTGAAGGCGATACTACCTGGGCTAGACATCTAATACCAGACACTGTGTTGGTACAAATCTATTGGCTTACACTGCAGTTGACAAATTAGTGAGGGGAGAAGAAATGATAAATCACACAAATTCTCTGCTGGTGGTAAAATTCTGTTTCATTTCAGATGTTTGTTACTCTCCTGGATCTCAGTTCTCAGCCGCTGGCCAAATCCCCAAATTTAATGACAGGACAAAATTATATCGAAGAGTATTCTGATTCTCTCTCCCCCTACTTCTTTACCTACTTTCACCCTTCTCCCTACCCAAAATGATCTCTTTTCAGTACATTCCAGGGGATGTATGGAGCATCCAACAGTAATGTCCAATGTAGGTCTTGGGAAAATTTGTAATAAAGCCAACAAAAATTAGTTGCTATTCTTGCCACTTCACCAATTAGCAGCAGGGAAAACAATTGCAAGCCATAGGTCATGTTTTCTTATTTTTCTATCAAATTACCTAAATGTCAGTGTTTGTGTGCTGAAAAAAAAATCTGAAGGAAATCCACTATGGAGAATGTTGATTAGCTGTGATTCACTTCAAATCTATATTGTCAAGAAAAAACCCTATAAAGAGTCATGTCCAAGCTAAGAGAGTTAGGAAAGCAGATGATAACAAGCACTGAGATGATGCCTTATTTTAGTGAAATGAGTGACCTTTGTTCTTTCCTCTTGTTCTAAGGCCAGCCCGGGTGCCCTCGACCTCAAGATTCCTGAATCCATATTTAGTGTGTTTCATTGTTGTTGCTGTGGTGGTGGTCCTGGCAGTGACTGTGGCTCTGCTTATCTACTTTTTAGCTTTTGGTGAGTGCCCCGAAATTAGCAGTACCACCTTTTAGACTAAAAGTTTGACACTCGTTTACTTCCACTTTCATTTCTTAATATAACATGATTTCATAACTTACTTATATTTCCTTAAATATATACCTATGTTTTCCCTCAACTAGTATTTTTACATTTCAGTTTTGATGCTTTTAAGTATATTAATCAGTATTGGCCAGACAAAAACTATTCTAGTCAAAAAAAATTCTTGATACTGTCTCATGCTAGAATTTGCCCATTTTGTTTTTTTATTAATAACGATTTTCTTCTTGAAAATAATCTGATAAAACTGCAAATAAGAAATATTCCAAAGATCCTTAAGTTTCAACACCAAAGAGTTTGAACGTACTTATATTTTTAATTCATGATCTGTCCCGTGAAAAGTCTTGTGAAAACCATTATGAAATAGATGAATTTACAATTAGAAAGGTTAAAAGCTAACACTAAATAGGACTTTATTATTTTATTTTTTATCTTACTTGCTTTAACTTTTTGCTATATCACACAAAAGTAGGAAACAAACAAGAATCAAGAAATATTAAGGATACATATACCTTGAACATTCATAAACAACTTTCCTTAATATCTCAGTGAATATTCTTTCAGATGCTTCAATGTAAAAAAAAAAAGTCAAATTTCAGTAGATAATGTGTTATGATCTGCCTTCACTTAAACTATCAGGTTATTTTTCTCTCAACTATAATTCTTTTAAACTGTGTGTGTGGAAAGAGAATAAGAATTTATTGTATGTAAAAGGGAAAAAACACAACTATACAAAGATTGAATAACTCCCTATGATGCAATAAAATACCAAAATTAGAAAATCTAGTTACTAGGAATAATTTTTCAATCAAATTATAAAACTGGGGCTAAATTTTCTTTTTGACTACATTTGGCTATCAAATCACCTAGAACCAACTATGTCTAAAGATGTATTACAGAGAGGAAAAAGAAACATCAAGGTTCAGAGTATTGAATTTTCACTCTTAATGACACTATTGTCACACTTAAACACAAAGGGAGGGGCCTAAGTAATTCTTCCTCAAACTGTATCCCACCATCCTGTGACTCGAGGAAGACTTGTACTCCACTACACAAGCTACATAACCCTCACCCTGACATGGAACTTCTGCCCTGGTTGAGGTATTTTTCCTGCAGTAGTTATGGGAGCAGGGATTTTCCCTGAGACAGATTCTATCAGGGTATGTTCATGCTCATAACACTTCTAAATATATACAGATGTGTTTTAGAGATTTTTTTTTCCCTTTACATAGCTGAATATGTCCTCTGGAACACCCTTTCTGATGGAAATAATTCAAATTAGCTATTTTGTCAGAAGACTTGTTTTATAACTTAGATCAGAAAGACTAATGACAAATTATTACTTTCTTTATAAAGAATACTATTTTAAATAACTTTTAAAGTATTCAGAAAGATAAAATTTTCCAATTTGTTGTTATAAATTGGAGCAAAAGGGTATTACACTAAATGAAATTAGTCAGATGGAAAAAGACAAATACCATATAATTTCACTTTTTGTGGAATATAAAGTAAATGAATAGCAAAAACCCTTAAATGCAGAGAGTAGATTTTCATACATCTTTAACAGTACCAGCTCTCCAGTCTTTTTAAAAACTGAAAGGATAAGATAATTACATTTATATTAACATTGGTGTTTTATTTCCTTTAAGGGAAGGTATTTAAATTATGTACTATAGTTCCATAATCCTGAGTAAACTAAAGTTGTTTAGTCTTAGTAATGTGAGGCTGATTCTGCCTTTTCTTTGTTTTATAGATCAAAAATCTTACTTTTACCATGGCAGTGTTCAAATCCTAAATGTCAAATACAGTGATCAGTTAAATTCACCAGCTACACAGGAATACAAGGCTTTGAGTGGGAGAATTGAATCTATGGTGAGTTAATAATTTTTTCCTCTTTATTTCATCATAAAATGAATATAATAAACCTAGCATTTTGTTATATTTTTTTAATTGCTAGGTTATCTGCATATTCTCCTCCCTTTAATAGTAAAAATGTGTTTCTTTTGCTTTTTTCCCAGTTAATTTGCTAGTATACTTGTTCTAATTCACATTTACTTAAGTCATGAGGGAAAAGTGTTAGAAGGGTTGAGTAAACACTATTTTACATTACTACTTCTAAAACTGGAATTCTACTGTTCCTACAAGTTGAACTTTTACTACTACTACAACTACTACTACCGTTGTCTTTTTAAATCATTTTCATTTTGCCTCCTTTTCTTTATCCAACCAACACATAGGACACTGGTGTTGAAGATGTGCATGTCAATAATAGAACAGTTTGAGAAACACCACACTGAGGTTCAATGACAGAGAGAAAATAAGTAAAGCAAGTTTAGACTTTCACTTGAAGATCCACAACCTGCCTGTCAGGAAACCTCATAGGTTGCCTTATGTGTGGAACTGACAACTTAGTGTCATAATATATGAAGTTTTTCCAATGAAACACTTTATGCATTTGGACCATAAAATTGTGTGGGAAATTTCTGACCACATAAAAGGTATTTAGTAAAAAAGGTATTTAAATTTAAACTCATAACTTGGAGTCATTTTATCAAAAAGTTTTTCAAAACATGAATTCTAGCTAGTCATATTGTTAAAATGAAAATATTATTAAAATAGAATATCTTAATTTTGTTCAGTAACAACATTTTTAATTTCTCATTTTGTGACTTTTTATAATGTACATTGTTGGTATTACAGTTTTACTGTAAGTATATAACTTACAAACCTACATGTTTTAAGTACTGATAAGCAAAATGCAATTACCCATCAAATACATAGGCAAAATATTTGATGATCATATTAATAGATCATATTGCCACATATTTTATCCTTTCCTTGAAAAGTGAACTTTCCAGGTTTTTTATTGTATTATTTTTATTGAGACAACATTATTTTACACCGTATATGATTTAGGAGTATAGGTTCACACTTTCAGATGTATGTTACCACACCATGCATACCACCAAAGCATCTACAATCTGCCACCAGTCTATTGAGCAGATAAGAAAGTTGTAATTGAGGGTGACAGAAATCACAAAACAACATTACTCCTACCTTTCAACTGATGAATAATATGAACAAAACTATACTTATTAAGAAGGTACTAAAACTAAGAATGTAATTTATCTGACACATTCACCAGCAATAAGATCTTTTCCCTCTAGAAATTAAAAATATGTGACGATTCTAGACACCCTATATGTAATGCTTTACCCTGTATATGACTTGTTCTACTAACAGATTTAATGTTCATTTTATTACACTTTATCTAAATAAACAACTTCATTTCTCACTTTAATTCTTATCAATTATGAGTATTACTGAAATATGAGGACTCTAGAATACAAAGATATTATTGTCATCCTCAATCAGGAGAAAAAAATATAAAATAATTATCTTTTATCATTGTTTATGTTCATTTGATGTATGTCATATATTAAGAGAATCAGTATTACAAGTTATAAAATCAAAAGAGTAAACTCATTCAACCTTTGAATACAGTTATAATTTCTCCAATTAACCCTCTTTAGTTTTGTTGAGTGGTTTAGAACACTATATAAGGTCCAGATCTACAGCTTCATACCTCTTCAAATGCATATGCGACACCACACACCACCAAAGGTCTAGTTACCATCCACCACCACATTTATGACTGTTTTTTCCTTTTATGATGGAGAAACTGAGAAGAAAGTTTACAAGGTTAGCTTCTCCCAACAAATTAACTTATCTGTATTCTCCACCTGGTCCTCTCTCCACTATCCCATTGGTATCTTTAAGCATCTGCTCATTGATTCTTCCACCTTGCATTTAATAAATTCTAATGAAGGAGTAAAGAACAAATTCACTACCTGTAACATTGAATTTTATCCATACAGTTCTTCTTTTGTACTTACATGTAGATGTCAACCACTTAGTGAAATTACTTTCTATATGTTGTATATTATCCTAATCCTCACTAAACTGACCCAATGTTTTCCATATAAATGGAAATAATGTAATAATTACTGTGGATCTTTTAAAAATTAAGTAAGTAGATCTTTAACACTTTGGTTTTCTATCCTATGCCAATATAATGCCAAATCACAAATTAAAATACAATTATAAAGAACATTATCCAAGGGCTCCCCTGGTGGTGCAGTGGTTGAACACTGGGCTGCAAGGCTGCCCGCAGCCTCTGCAGCGCCGGTTCGTTCCCAGGCAGCTGGTGAGGGTCCCACAAAAAAAAAAAAAAAAAAAAAAACATTATCCAAATTTCAGGAAATCCTGAAACTTTAAAACTTTAGATCAATTTCTTTTACTTTCATAAGAGTGAAATAAAATTAAAGTGCTTTACTAAAACTCCTCCTATACCATACTATATTATACCCATTCATCTACGTAGTTAACTGGAGTACAATTCACCAAATGACAATGAAATGTAATTCTAGATCACATAATTTTGGCTATTTGCTTTCCTCTAAATGCTTACTAGTATTACTTGATTTTTTTTAAAAAAGGAATATGAATTATTTTGATGAAACCAATCATTTCATTAGGCTTGAAAATGTTCAAGTCTTCTCTAGAAAGAAAGAAAATCACTTTGTCAAACAATCTTTTTAAATATTTATTTTCAGTCATTAGGATACTTATATTTTAATATTTTTTAAATTAGTCAAACAATAATTTAATATGATATCAGCTACAAGAAAAGCATATTGAGGTATAATTGTATAAACTTTAAGTCTCAAGGAGAATCAGTTTCAAATTCTGACTTTCTTTAATAATCAACATGTTACTTAATTTTCATTATCACCATTCCAAGTCTACTGCCATCTTGTTGTAACCCCACAGTACAAGTAAATAAAATCCACTCTCCTTTCTGAGACCTCACTACATCTGACCCTGCATCTTGGTATAATTGTTCTTTCCACAGAACCACTCCTAGTACTTCACTGTGAATGACCTTTGCACTTCAAGAGGATCATTGTTCTTGGACTGAGCTATGATTTTGGGAGATAGCTAAGGTTAGGTCAGGTAATTACCAACTGGTGCTAAAAATTACCTCTGACACTTAAGCAGTCATCAAAAATAAGGAAGTGACTGCCTATGGCTTCTTTCCTCTTTTAACCATTTAAATATGTTTTTTTACCCATTGAAAAGTTGTTGAGGGATCACACAATGAGGCTGTATTGGTGACTCCCCTAGTGTTGACTGGGGAGTATAGTTCACCAAATGAACTTGCCCCCATATTGCCCCCATCTCCTTAGGAATAGTCACAAAATCATATAACATAAACTCTAATTGAGTAAAACATCAGATGTGTTTAGAATGACTAGTGAAGACATATCCTATCCATTACTGTCTTTGTGAAGGTTGCGTAACTTGCCTAATTTGATCCCATGTATTGAGATGGAACTGAATTAACTAACAACTCATCTCTTTTCCTCATAACATAAGAGTTGTGTTGCAAGGTTGGGAGGAAGGAGGAAGAGTAGGAAGAACTATAATTACAGAGAGTTGTTTTTCTTTTTACAGCTTAGTAAAACATTCAAAGAATCAAATTTAAGCAATCAGTTCATCAGAGCTCATGTGGTCAAATTCAGGTGAGTAGAACTATACCAAAAAGAATCTATATATAAGAATAGATTCACTTTGACCCATTTGACTTGTGTTCACAGAATGGATAATGAATGAGAAGTTTACCCAGGTTGTGGCAATATTATGAAAATAGTATCATGGCTAGCTTACAAAAACAATGCCAAAAAGAACCAAAACTAAGACAAACCATATGTCATATCTATTTACCTACTGCTGTAAATAACCATATTACTTCCATTATGATGGAAGGAGAAAGAAAGGATACAGAGAGTTGGGTTGAAGGTACAATAACAAGGCTATCCTATTGCACAAATTGGGTGGATATCATTCACAATGAAGGCTATGTAAACAGGGGTCCTGGAGTTGTTCCATACTATAGTCCTGGGCAGTATTCTTCCAAGATCAGAACTTTCTACCCAACATCAAAAATTACTTTTTGGTTTTTGTCTGCCTGGGATACTACAATGTAAAAAAAAAAAATCTATGATTAAATCCAAATATGTCAGTCATTAATTGAAGGGGTCGTACTGTGTTGCTAGTTGTATTTGACATTCCTGCCTTATAATGAGACACACGATCTCTCCCAATTAAAATAGTCACCCTTCTGATTCTACCACAAATCCTTCAAATGTCCATTGCTCAATGCACCAAATATGCAAAAGTTCATTTGAAAAGAGAAGATTTATACTAATTCTTTCTCAAATTTTAATACCACAAGAAAAATTTTCTTATTCTCGGTATAATCACCTAGTACGTACCAGTTGCATGGCTCTGTGGTCAGATGTGTTTTGTTGAAGAGTTAGAGAAGTAGGAAGAATCCATGGGAAGAATATTTCCCAAAATTTATTTCAGTCAGTTCAAAAGTACATTTGCATTAACACTTTCTTTTGAAAGTGTGCTAGTCACTACCCCGAAAACTTGTAGGACTGATTCAATCTCCTTACTTTTTCTTTTTTGTTCACTTTTCCACTTATTGCTTAATCTACTGCATGGCTTCTAACCCCACCACAAAATGCTAATTGTACTTTGTAACTTCAGCAATGATATCCAAATCACAAACTCCAAACAAATCATATCGGTCTGCCTCTTGGACTTCTCAACAATATTTGGCAATATTAGATTTTCATTCCTCCTTGAAATAGTACCATTCCATGGTTTCTGTTACCCTATACACCCCTGATTTTCCTTGTCACTTACTCAATTTTTCTTTCCTAGCTCTATTCCCTCTCTGTACATTCTTCAAATGTCTTTGAATGTCCGACTATGCTCAGCTCTCATTCTCTCCTTCAGTGGTTGCATTGTCACTATTTGCTGATTATTCCCAAAGTTGTTTCTCTGAGCCAGTCCTTTCATCTCTAGCTATACACAGCCATCTACTTGATATTTAACAGATGGCTATCTTGCAAAGAACTCAACTAGAATACACCCAGACTAGAATATACTTTCCTTCACCAAATGTTACTCTTCTAGAGCTGCGTAACATTGGCATCACCAACCTATTTTCCCAATAAAGAAATAAGACTCTTGAGCCCACACATCTAATCATCTCATCCTCACCACTATATTTCCTAGATCTCTCTCAAATCACTGCTTTCAGCCGTCTCTCCTATATAATAAACAGACCTCCTTGTGAGTCTCCTTTTCTCCATTCTTGTTCCACTCCAGATTCCTTATAGCAGCAAGAAAGATCTTTTTGAAACAAAAATCTAAACATAGTATTCTCTTTTGTCTAAACCCTTCTAATGGCTCTCATCACCCTTATGACATGTCAGTGGCATAAGTATATAGTGTATGTGTATGTATATATATAGAGAGAGAGATAGGTATCAAGGATGTATATATATATATAAATTTTTTTAAAGATTTATTTATTTATTTATGCAATCACCGGGTACAGTCAGAAGCGTGGGAGGGTGAGAGAATTCACCAGAGTCAGAGCAGGGAGCAGAACAGGCAGAAGGACCAAAGTACACTGCTGAGGGGAGCAGCGGGCGGCAGGAGAGGTCTGCGCGCCATGTGGGACCCTCCTCTGGTGGCCGGGGAGCAGCTGGGGATCAAACCAGGGCTGCAGAGGTCGTGGGCAGCTTCACAACCCAGCGCTCAACCGCTGTGCCACCGGGGAGGCCCGGATGCATATATTCTTGATATCTAATATACATTATATATCAAGGAAATTATGTGTTTATATATGTATATTTGTATACATTTATTAAACCTTTATCTTACTCCTATATCCACCACTGTGATTATCTTTTACTACAGTCCACCTTGTTCTTTACTTATCAGTCCCACCAGATATCTTTGATCTTTACTCTCCCTCTGCCTGAAATGCATGCAAACACACCCCTTTTCTGCCTTTCTCTTCTATTTGATAACATAGAAATAGAAAATTTGAGGTACAGTAAGGCCAAGAAATCCAAAGAGGAATACCATTGAAAAGATATGTTCTTTACAAGAGGAGGGGGCATGTTTCTGATAGTGTTATTATGAAGATCAAATAAATCACTAGGAGTAAAACAACAAGTGCTGTCTGAGCACCTGCCCTTGTATGTTCATCATCAAATAAGGATTCCTTTTCCATGAATCACATATTCCTATATTTCCTAATTTTTCTATTGTCCATCTTTTTCAAATTGATTTGCATGAGTTCTGTATTTATAGTAGGTACCAAACACTCTTCACTTTGAGTTGCAAATATAGTCTCCCTGTCTGTAGAATATCTTTACACTTCATTTATGACATCTTTTGCTGTAGAAAATTAGGCACAATACCTCTCAGTTTATAAATTCTTTCTTAGGGAAGATATTTCCCCCATGGCAAAAAAAACTAGAACTTGTTTAACCAGGCAGAAAACATTTCATTTAAAGATAAAGATCATTGCAGAACTCCAGCATTATCAGCAAGGGATTCATGTGAAGAAATACCCCATCTCTGCAGGACCATCTTTTAATCCCTTTTACAAATTAATCTCTAGTAGTTCAACAAATAAAAGGGTCTTGGGAAGTGGGGCTTGTTGACTTGCCTACATCAGTCTCATTGGGAACACTTGTTAAATTTTCAGGTTCTGGATTCTACCCTGACCCCGTGCATCAGATTTGCTGGGGCCTCGGGAATCTGCAAACTCCTGGCTGGTTATAATTCAAAGTTAGGTGTGCTAGGGCATCATAATTCGCAACATTGGGAAGTTGTGAATTCATGATTTAATTTTTTGCTTAAATATTTTTAATGAAAAAAAAAGCAAAATTATTTTAAATCTGAGAAGATTAAGGCCTACAGTCTTATCAGTCCAAACAGAATGTGTTTACATTTTGGCTCATCAGTAACCTGCTTTAATTATCCCTACTGTGGATTTTCTTTTTGAATTAAATTTATATGGTGGGGCATCCCTGGTGGTGCAGGCGGTTGAGCTCAGTGCTGTGAAGCTGTCCACAGCCTCTACAGTGCCAATTCTATCCGGCCTGCTTCCGAGCAGCCCACATGGCAAGCAGACCTCTCCTGTCTCATCAGCTGCTCCCTTCAGCAGTGTATTTCAGTTAGTCTGCCTGTTCTGTTCCCCGCTCTGTCTCTTGTGAATCCTCTCACCCCCAGCACATCTGGCCTATACTCTGGCTCTTGTGCAAGTAAAAAATAAATCTTTAAAAAATAAAAAATAAAAAAAATAAATTTATATGGTGTCTCCAATAAAGGAATTTTATTCACAAAGAACTCTCTTCTCCCCATATGTAAAAAGACATTCTTCCACAAATTTAATTTTTTCTATATATCATTTTCCTTCAGATTTGTGATACCAATTCTGTGACACGCTGCTTACATGTCTTTGAGTCAGTGTATAAATAATCATTCTGTTTCTTCCTATTAAGCTTAGTCATTCAAGATCTGTTCTTATGGATTTGCTTCTCCTTGTTCAATATATCTTGAGAACAAATTATCAAATGCCTGTGTGTTTAGAATTGTTATTTCTTCCTTATTTTTTATAAAGGCATTAATCCTCTTTATCCCTACTTAATGCTTTTTAATTTAAAGTGTATGTCTATACCAATATGATTATATTGACTTACTTGTAGTTACTACTCTTTAAATTTATCTTTATCTCCCCTTTAACTGTCAACTTTTATATATCTTTACAGGTTAGAAATTTCTCCATAAAATAAAATAGGTAGATTATGGGCCTCCCTGGTGGCGCAGCGGTTGAGCGCTGGGTTGCGAAGCTGCCCGTGGCCTCTGCAGCGCCGGTTCAATCCCCGGCTGCTCCCCGGCCACCAGAGGAGGGTCCCACATGGCGCAGACCTCTCCTGCCGCCCGCTGCTCCCCTCAGCAGTGTACCTCACTTCTGCCTGCTCTGCTCCTCGCTCTGGCTCTGGTGAATTCTCTCACCCTCCCGCGCTTCTGACTGTACCCAGTGCATGTATAAACAAGCAAACAAACAAACAAATAAATAAATAAAACATGCCTCTATAAAAAAAAAAAAAAAAAAAATAAAATAAAATAGGTAGATTATCTTTATGTATTCTGACCATCTTCACCTGTGATTAGCAAATTTAGTCAATTTACACTTATGAAATACCTGCTACATTTAAATTAATTCTTTCCATATTATTTTGTCTCTTTTTCCAGCTCTTTACTATGCTTTTTCCTACTGTCCTGCCTTCTTTTTGTATGATTGAGTTTTCTTAAACTAGTGAAAGAAAACAAATTCAAAAGTTATACCTCCTATTTGTTTTTTTAATGATTTTTCTTACAATTTTAACAGGCATAGTTGGTTTAATCTACTGACCTTCAAATATTACAGAGAACTTGGAACACTTACTAATATTAATGATTTTTGAGTTTGAACTTATTTTTAATGCCCCCAAATTAGTTATTATAATTAGATTGTCATATTTTTTTAGACTGCCAGTTAGTTTTCTTTGTTTCCTATTTCTTTTTGTACCTCACATATTTTCTGGATTCTGTTTCTTTCTTACTGAAGTACTTCCTTTTACTTTTTTATATAAGGTACACAAGTAATTAACTTTTTTTTTGTTTTTGCTTTTATCTGAAAATTGCATTGAGATCTGGAATGGATATTATGGCATAACTGGTAATTGATATTAGAGGAGGCCTAGAGTGATATGAGAACATTAAAATCAAATTTGCCTAATGTATATTTTTATGGCAGCCAATGTTAGGTGGAGGGTGTGATTTACATGGAAGGAAATGGAAAATATCTAGATTTTAGATAATTATAGCCTTTAGTCAAATTATCTAGGGTCATTATAAATAATATCTCTGGTTAATTGCATAGGAGATAAAATCTTACAACAATAAAAGTTAAAATTTACCTTTAGGGCAAGATAAATGGGCATAAGTGCCAGAAAATTAACTTGAACCTCTCACTCATTTAATTTTGGAACACCATCTACAAGTTTATTTATTTAATGAGATGAAAATTTTAAAAAATGTGCAGTTTATAAGGGTCAAATAAACACAGGCTTAAAAATTAACCCTTGAAAATTGACTATAGAACTGAAGCATCCAGAGGGGTAAAGGGATAAGAGGTAAGAACAACGAGGCAAGGAAGAACAATGAGTGTGGTAGTGAGTATGGGTGAATTGGTAGTAGGTATGCTACAGTGACAATACCTAATGGGGAGATCCTAATCTTACTCAATTTAAAAAAAATTTTAACTATAAAGTTGAATATAACCAATACTTACAGTGTATTTACTATATGCTATGTATTTTTCCCCAAAATTTTTGAATAGATTAATTCATATAATCTTCATAATATCCCATTATGCTTGTGAAGATATTTAGATACATAACGATTTTAAATTTTTTTAGATACAGAGATTTTAAGAAACTTAAGTATCTTACCCAAAGTCAGAAAGTTCATTAACTGATATTCAAACTGGTATTCTGACCCCAAAGCCAGCTGTATTCACTCTAAGTACAATGAATTCAAATTTGAGGGATGGTATTGTGATATCATTACTTATGCAAACTTAGCAATCTTTATAAAGTTAAATTCCTCAAGTAATTTTTTAGAATATTTAATCAAGAATTGGAACAGCAAAAAATTCTCTTAATTATAAATACCTTAAAATATCTTTATGCTTTTCAGGCAAGGTGATAATGGTGTGATAGCAGATATTGTCATGAAATTTAAATTCAGTAGAAATAACAATGGTGCATCAATGAAAAGCAGAATTGAATCTGTTTTACACCAATTACTGAGTAACTCTGGAAACTTGGAAATAGATCCTTCAACTGAGTTAAAACGCAAGTACCATTTTTTATATCATTTTATTTCAATATAGCCTGTCAACCAGTTCTAACTCACATTTTAATTTAATGAGAAAGTAACTTCTTTCTCCTTGGAATTAAACTTTATGAAAAAACTGTTAAAAGCTAGATTTCAAAATAGCCTAATACAAACCAACCTAAAATTTCAAAAATCATTTAGCAACATTCCTTATGAGAGATGTTGTTGTCAGATGTCCAATTTGTTAAGTATGCTATGGGAATGGTTAAGCAGATGTTCAAGATCAGAGAACAATTTAATGATCCACCTCACCCAGAATAGAACCCAGCACATTATTGGAAGGTGTCTGCTAAATATTTGTAGAATATTAGAATGAGATTTAGCAGTATCTTTATCTCTCTTATGACAATCCACTTACACAGCACATGAAATATCCAATCCCCATGAAACTTTTGTAGGAAAATTCACCTAAATTGATTATAGAGAGCATGAAAATCTGTCTAAGAAGTTTGGATTTATCTTTTAGGAAATAGGAAGCATATTTCTCATTAAAAGATTTCAAGCAGGGAAGTATATGATCTGACATACATTTTTAGAAAAATCATTCTGATAGAGATGAATGAGAAGTACAAAAATGGAGGCAGGTAACAGAGTCGGATATTTAATAGCATAGGTGTCAAATAATGAAAGCCTAATCTAAAGTAGTAGCCAAAAGGATGGGGTGGATAGGGTTAATGCAAATGAAAGAGACTAAAATTTACAAAAATTGGTAAGCCGATAAGGTACTGAAATGACAATAAAAGACAAGCTAGAGACCACTTAGGGGTTTTAGTTACTGGTAGAAGTAGTGTCATTAGGGAGTAAAAATATGTAGCAAATTTTGGATAAAATATGGTCATAATGAGTTTGAGACAGCTGTAGGACATGCAGATAAAACTATCCTGTAATCAGACTTCAAAATGGAATAGACTATCTGACCCCAACATTTTTCCCTGTCCATGCTCTCCCACTATCTTCCCTCATGCAACTATTGTACTAGCTCTCAGGACACCACAAGCATCTTACACTGCCATGTATCTGTGCCCACTATTCCTTCCACCTTAAATGACTTTTCACCTGTTGTCTGCCTGAAAAATTCCTTTTGGGTCTTCAAAATACAGTTCAAGATACAGTGTTTAATTTTTAACACCAGCAAAAACTGACCAGGATATAAATATTTTCTTTCAAAATACAGTTCAAATGTTAATTCTCACCAAAAATTCTGAGGCTCTTTCAGAATAACTCTCCTCTCCACTCTGCACTTAAATTTATTCAAATGATTCTTTGACTAATTTCTATATGTAAATTATGTGAGGGCAAACTTCCTATATTTGTTCAGTTATATTTACAGCATTAATAACACCGGTAGAGTAATACAAATATACCTACATATACATGTCTGAATAATGAAAAATTAACTTCTCATAGCATTTATCTTATCCACCTCTCAGTGATTAGTTTGTGTGTCTGTTTCCCCAACTAAACAGTATCTTGAGAGCAGGAGTATCTTTTAAGTATATATTAAGAATTTTTTAAGTTGAAGTTCAAATTTTCATGTTTGTAATAAATTGAGGAAAGATTTGTGGAGCTATGACTAAGAGACTCATGGCATTTCTGGGATGGATTCTAGAAATCTATCTTAGCAGCCTTCTAAGTGATTCTGGTTATGTTTGTCTGAATACTACACTTCAAGAAATTAAGGTGAAATAATATACAGTCCTAAAAAAAACCTATACAGTCTTTACTGTATTGAACTTATTTTCACTTTTCTTTTTTTTTTTTTAATACCAGCATTAACTGACCAGGATACAGCAAATATTTTCTCTGAAAGTAAGTTTTCAAATTATATATACATATTGTTTACCAAAATTTAAAGAGTAAATGTTCAAGTTATTTGTGTTCTTTGTCAAGGTGGTGTTTATTAATTTAGTGTCCTTATTCTTGGTTCATTCATATGGATTTTTGAGTTAAGACAATGCTGATCCTATTGACCCATGGAATACTGTTTAGGATTCCCTTTCCTTTTAGAAGGAAGAAGTAGCAGTGGCATTCCATCTACTCTGTATCTATCCAACTGACCTCATGAATTTTTCTTGTAGTTATGGAAAGTTTTTCATGCCCTTTTTCTGTGGTGGCATTTCTATACACTTTCAAATATATGAGTTCACATCATTCTTATAGGTTCTCAAAGCCATTTTTTTATTTATGTTAAGCATAAGGTACAGTAAAAAATTATAAAAGTCTTGTGGTTTTAGGTCTACAACCTAAAGTAAGAGTCACTATTTTCCAATGTTATTCTACACGCTCTCAGACTGAGGCAGCAGAAATAAAGACCAAAGTTTACTTTGACTAATAGATAGCAAACAGAAATTAGTTCAGTGTACCTGAATAATTGGCCTGTCTCAGATACTTAAAGTCCTATCTTACAAGGTGATGCTTAATTTGAATATTTTTTAACTTCATTATATATTTAATTCATGCTTCTTTTTAATGAAAATATGCTTTAGTAATTTATTAGAGAATTTGTTTGGAGAATGCAGCAAAGGAACCCGTATGTTCCATTTGTGTTTTTAATGGAAGTCTGGTCCTCTATCTGGAATACATGTTTGAAAAATGCTTCTGTATGGTTGTTCTATTGAAGAAGTCAGGGTCACTAGTATAATGGAGTCAGTCCAACAGCAGAATTTGGTGATTTGCCTCCAATTTCTTAATTATAGACTAAATAAGGAGAACTAAATCATGGGAAAGTGGGTTGAGGACCCCGTCTCAGTGAATTTCAGTTTAAATACTTAAAATACTCCTGAGCTCAAGACATTTAAACAAATCTCATCTAGATAATTAGAAACCTCTCAGGCATCCTCAAGAATATTTTTGTGGACCTAAATTAACTCCTTTGCAAGGGCCCACATGGCAATAGTCATTTATGGAGGTGGACTTGAACCATGATGAACTGTAGTACCATTAAAGAGTCTTCTCTCTTTTTTTTTTTTTAAAGATTGATTTATTTATGCATACAAGAGCTAGGGTACAGGCCAGAGATGAGGGGGGTGAGAGGATTCACCAGAAACAGAGTGGGGAACAGAACAGGCAGACTGACCGAAGCACACTGCTGAGGGGAGCAGTGGGCGAGACAGGAGAGGTCTTCGATGCTATGTGGGTTTCTCCCTGGCAGGCCAGGGATTGAACTCGTGCTGCAGAGGCTGTGGATTGCTTCATAGTGCAGTACTTAACCCCTTGTGCCACCAGGAGTTCTTGATGACAGCAATTTCCTCTAACTTCAGTGTGCACATGAATCACTCATTAAAGTGCAGCTTCTATTAAGTGAGGATCTAGGGCCCATAAGGTGACACTACTTGATAATTTGTATACTTGAAGGTTGCTGAGAGCAGACCTTCAACATTCTTATGACATATACACACACAGAGTTAAAACTATGTAAGGCGATGGATATTTTTAATTACCCTGATCTCAGTAACCATTTCACAATGTATATGTATCAAATTACCTCATCATATACTTATAATATGTACAATTTTATTTGTTTTGCCTCAGTAAAACCGGGGCTAAAATGCAGCTTCTGGTTCATTATCTGGTATAGACTTAAGAGTATTTTTTTTTCAGTTTTACTAAAGTATAATTGGCAAATAAAATTGTAAGATTTTTAAAATGTACAATGTCACAGTATGTTATATGTGTATATTGTGAAAAAATTCCTGTCGAATTAATTAGCACATCTATCACCTCACCTAATAACCCCCCAACTCTTTTTTTTTGAGAGAACATTTAAGTTCTACTCTCCTAGCAAATACCAGTTTGTGATAACAACACAGTGTTATCAATCATAGTCACCATGCATTACATTAGATCCTAAGATCTTATTCATTGTATAGCTGAAAGTTTTTGCCACAAGCACTTTCAACACTATTTGTCTGTTGACTTTTTCTTTTACATTTCATTTATAAATAATGCATGCACATGCAGTGTTGGTTTTGTTGTTGTTGTTGTTTTTGGTCTGGCTCATTTTACCTAACACAGTACCTTCTATGTTCATTCATGTTGTTGCAAATGGCAAGATTTGCTTTTTATAAGAATGAATATATATGTACTTTTTTCTTGAGCCATTCATCCACTGATGGACACTTAGGTTGTTTCCAGGGTAAAAATATGTCAAATAAGTTCCCAGGTGATGCCTATATTGTAATTCCACAGGTAAGTTATAAAGATAGACATTTCCCAGTGAACCTGTGTCCTGAGCTGGTACATCCAACACTAATGTATCATAATCCCCACTCTTAAGGAATTCCAGAGAACTTTCAAATTGCTCTAGGGGCCTCCCCTGGTGGCGCAGGCGGTTGAGTGCAGCACTGTGAAGCTGTCCACAGCCTCTGCAGGGCCCGTTCGATCCCGGCTGGCTGGGGAGGGTCCCACATGGTGCAGCAGACCTCTCCTGTCTCGCCCGTGGCTCCCCCCAGCAGTGTATTTCATCAGTCTCCCTGTTCTGTTCCCTGCTGTGTCTCTGGTGAATCCTCTCACCCTCCTGAGCATCTGGCCTGTACCCCGGTTCTTGTATAAATAAATAAATAAATAAATCTTAAAAAAATTACTCTAGAATTTGAAGCAGACTTGCCAACTAAGTTCAGAAATGTCTGCAAAGTGTAGTCAGTAGGCAACCGTAGTCACATACGTACTCTAAAAATGTAACATATTGATCATTATTTTGAATAGACTAGCATGTCCTGGAGGAGAATACATACAAGACATAAATGACAAATGTAAATGAATCATCATCTTTCCATCAAGTAATCCCCTCTTTTCATTAGCATGTGGGGCACGTTCGGACCTAATAACATTGTCTGAGGAGAGAATCATAGGAGGCACAAAGGCTGAGGAAGGAGACTGGCCCTGGCAAGTCAGTCTACACCTGAGAAATACTCACCATTGTGGAGGCACCCTGATCAGTCACACGTGGATCCTGACAGCAGCTCACTGCTTTAGAAGGTGAGGTCACAGCTTATTTACCTATCTGGGGATAACCAAGAAAGACATATACACAAGGATTCCATTCATGCTACCAAGGCTGAACATGACTGAGTTGAGTCAGAAATAATACAATGCAAAAAAAGTCTTTCTTCCTACGAGAGCAAAAATATGTTTTCTCATTCAACTTGCTTATGTACTCCTATTTTCTGGCTCAGATAATAATATATTATAGTAAAGAACAAAGATTTATATGTCAGTGTTTAATTTAAATGCTGGTCATGAAAGCTTAGGATAAATACTGAATCTCAATAAGTGTAACTTTTTTCAATTAGGGACTTTGTTATTTATGCCTTAATGTTACTGACAGGATTAAATACACCAATGTAAACATGTGTTAAATGCTAAGATGAATTGTGAGAGATTTCCATTGTATTATGCCACCCTGCAGATACACATGCACGAAATAATAATTATAATGTATAGCATAAATAAAATGAATTTAAATAACATATCCAAAATTTTTCACTCATATGCCTAAAACTTATTGCTAACAGCGATAAACGGTCAGAAGAGGATATAATGATTGAACTTACCTACTGGTATTTAAAAAAAAAAAGGTCCTACTATTCATAGTAGGACTTTAGCCTTCCATGTGACTACAACCTGCTAGGTTCAGACCCATCTTTTCAATGGTGCATCCTTGACCACTAAAGTTGTTGGGGAAAGTCCAAAATTTAACTCAGAAAAGTGATGATTATCTGAACACATATGTGTCTGGTCATATCTTCTCAAACTCTTTCAATAGCCACATCAAAAAGCTGTTCTCTACCAAATACCCAAAGAAGCACTCCAGTCAAATCAATCACTCTTGTTTCTCAAAGCACAAACCTTGAACTCCAGGTGGACAAGATGAAGAGCACTTGCCCAATCTACTTCTCCCTGAGATGTTAAAATCCCTCCAACTTTCCATTTCTTCCTACGAAAATTCTGTAAAATCTTCAGTTTCTAAAAATCCCTTTACAGATTTCAGAATACTAACTGATAATACATATCAGTTACAAACTGAAGAGGGAATGAAGTTTAACAAGACTAGTGCATAATTTCCAAACAAAAATGTCAGGAAAACCCAATTCTGAAATTTTTTATGATATTTTATAGCTCAATATTTTTTATACAGTGAATAAATTTGAAACTTATTCTGAAATACAGACCCAGATTAATTAAATTTCTTATTTAGACTGACATTTATTGGGATGGGTGGTTAATACAAGAAACAAGATATAATTCACAAAAATATTAATCTCCTTTGCCTCCTAAAAGGCCAAAGAACCCAAATGACAGTAACTGATATTAATCATCCTAGAAATACAAATACCTGGTCTTAGCAGGCACTTAATATAGTAAAGAGATGGTTGATCAAATAATTTCTAGATGGTGAAGGGGAATGGCAAACACAAAATCTAAATATTTGAAATACAAATTCCCTATTCAAGTATCATTGTGGTTGTTTTTTTTTTTTTTTTTTTTTAGCATCTCTGATCCTCGTCAATGGACAGTCATCTTTGGAATTTCCACAACATTTCCTAAACAGAGAATGAAAGTAAAGACTATTATAGTTCATAATAATTATAAATCTGCAACTCATGAAAATGATATTGCAGCTGTGCAACTTGAGAGAAGTGTCACCTTCACCAAAAATATCCATACGGTGTGTCTCCCAATGGCTACCCAGAATATTATACCTGGTTCTACTGCTTATGTAACAGGATGGGGATCTAAAAAATATAGTGGTGAGTATCTCAGAAAAAAAAGACAAAAGTACTTGTGATTATATAATTATTTAAATTAGAAAATACCTGAAGAGCAGGTTTATGGATGGAACCATCCTATATTCTGTTCAGTCTAAGCTCTTATTGCTGAGTTCCCTCAACAAAGCAAGATAATGTTCATAGAAACTATGGGGAATTTGCAAATGCCATAATAAGGAAATACAAAAGAAAGCAATGACACATGAATTCTTCAATAAGTAGGATTCAATAGGACTCAAATGACTCCCTTATAAAAAATATTCTTTAAAAAATAATTGAAATATGTATTCTCTAAGTGCTTTAATACTCTAAGTTAGCAACAACTTTTTAAGGTATTCTGGGATGAAGTAAATTCTGCCTCTAGAGGAAGAAATTCTCTGAATATGTAAGCATTAGCTCACGCTTGTTTTTTGATGAACAAAATGGAAATGAAGGCAATGTGAAAGTGCACATAGGGCCAGTGAAAATTAGAGTATGGTCACGAAGTAGCAGGATAGCACTAACAATTTCCACATAGTGTAGATTGTCTCTTGAGGAGTAATATGAAGGTTTGATTGTCCTAGAAAACATTTCATTCTGTTCTCATGACCCAGAGTAATGTGGTGCAACAGTTAAATTTACGTCAATAAAAAAAACAGTACTATTATAAGGTGACTACAGTATACAATAAATTAGTCCTTTAGTCATAAAAAGACTGATTTCTCTTTTATCACTAAAGTTATTCAACATGTAATTTTCTTTTTTTAATAATAAATTTTATTTTTATATTCCCCTTACAATTGCAACCCCCTTATTTTGACCCCAATCCCTCCCTCCCCTCCCGCCCCCTAACCCCCATAGAGTGTCTCTGGTTCATAGTTTTTGTTGATTTTGATTTTCACTTTCTTATAGTTATTCATTTTCCTGGTCCCTTATTTACGTTTTCTAGATTCCTGCTATGAGTGAGACCATCCAGTATTTTTCTTTATCTTTCTGGCTTATTTCGCTGAGCATGATCCCTTCCAGCACCATCCATGTTGCTGCAAATTGCATGTGTTTATCTTTTTTGAATGCTGAGTACCACTTCCTCTTGATCCAGTCATCTATTTTTGGGCATTTGGGTTGTTTCCAAAGCTTAGCTATTGTAAACAGTGCTGCTATAAACATAGGGGTGCAGGTGCTCTTTGGAATTGATGTTTCTTTGTCCTTTGGGTAAATACCTAGGAGTGGAATTGCTGGATCATATGGAAGCTCTATGTTTAGTAGGTCCAGAAATCTCCCCACAGCTCTCCATAGTGGTTGGACCACTTTGCACTCCCACCAACAATGCAGAAGAGTTCCTTTTTCTCCACACCCTCACCAACATTTGTTGTTAGCTAGTTTTTTTAATTGTGCCATTCTCACTGGAGTAAAATGGTATCTCATCAACATGTAATTTTCAATTGAAAGTCTATAGGTAATTTAAATACTACTCACCAATTTTAAGATAGAGGTTTTTTTGTTTTCTTTAAAGGTCTAAGGGATGTTACAAAGCTGAAGAAGAGGGAAGGGACAGAGAACTGATCTGAATAAGGGGATTATCTGCTATCCTGCTTTACTGTACTGTGGGAATCTTCTGAAAAGAAACTCAAAGTACATCTTCAATAGTTCCATTTGCTGAATAAGAATTAATGTTTGGAGTGCATTTATTCCTTCCCGTATTCACCACAGAGTCATTAATTTATACATCTTGAAGTTCATTTTCTTTCTACTTTTATACTTAACAGGCAGCACAGTTACAGAGCTAGAGCAAGCACAGGTCAACATTATAAGTAATGATGCATGTAATGCACCAACTAGTTACCATGGAGCCATCTTGCCTGGAATGCTTTGTGCTGGAGTACCTGAAGGTGGAGTAGATGCATGCCGGGTAAGTTTAAGACAATGTTATCTTTGTCATCATCCAAATTTACTAGCACTTACTACCATGTGGTATAGTGAAAGACAAAGAGGTGCCATAACTATAACACATAGCTTTGCTACTTTAAAAATTGATGATCTAGATTTTCATATAAAATTCCTTTATGAAGTTGATCGATAATGAAAACAATTTTGACAAGCCAAATTACAGAGCAGTTAGCCATTCAAGCTCAAGAACTAGACAGACTTGGGTTTGAATTTCTTAACATGTTTTATCCATAAAATGGGGAGGTAATCATAGTATCTAAGACAGAAATTTGTGCATAAACTTAGTTACTTGAGTCACAAAAGCTACCTCAATTATACAACACAAATGGGGGTATGAATTTTCAAAAAACTATAACAAAAGTAAACAATAAATGTAAAATTCCTACCCACTCTGACTAAGATATGCAGAGAAATTTCTTATGGGAAAAAATAGCAGCAAAAACATTAAAAAATCTCTAGCATAAAGAGGTAGGTGCATGTTGAAGACCTTAAAGACCACCAAAGAAACGGTCAGAAATAATGAACAAATTCGGTGAAACTGAAGGATATAAAATTCATATAAAAAAATCTTCTGTATCTCTGTACACTAATAACTATGAGAAAAAGAAAGTTAAAAGCAGCTCATTTATAATTGCATCAAAAAGAATACCTAGGAATGAATTTAGCCTGGGAGGTATAAGACCTGTACTGAAAGCAATGAGATATTAATGAAAGAAATTGAAGACATGAATGGAAATTTATTCTATGTTCCTGGACTTAAAAGAGTTAATACTGTTAAAATGTCCATACAACCCAAAGGAATCTGTATATTTAATACAATCTTTAACAAAATTCCAATGGTGTTTAACACAGAAATAGAACAAACAATTCTAAAATGTTTATGGAATCATAAAAGATCCCCATAACAAAAGTAATATAGAGTAAGAACAAAGCTAAATACATCTCATTCCCTGATTTCAAACCATACTATATTAAACAAACAGTACTGTATTGGCATAAAAACAGACACAGCGATCAATGGCACACAACAGAGGGCTTAGAAAAGTACCTATGCTTATATAGTCAATTAATTACAACATAGGAGCCAAGAATATACAATGGATAGGGGCAGTCTCTTTGATAATGTTGTCATGAAAACCATACAGAAACTCACTGATTCAACAAATATTTCACAATACTGCCTTTGGGCTAAAAACATAGACTGCAGAGGAATCTGGAATAGATATTCCCCTTCCCTCATGGACATTACAGTATTAGCCAGAGAAACTGACACTGAACAAGCATCATAAATGCAATGAGTACTTAGGAAAATTGTAGCTGTTTCAACAAGGGGAGCTGCTTAGTGGAAGTTCAAACAGGCACATAAACGTGCTTATATAAAATAATGAAGAAGCTGTGAAAGAGATACACACAAGATGTGAAACACAGGCAGTAAAAACTAACCTAACCAAAAAAATGGAAGGGGCGACAATGGGAGGAAAAGATTAGGTCAGAGAAGACTTGCTGATGAAGGCAAAAACTGGGATGCACAGTAGCTGTCAAGTCTGGGAAATGTGCTCACACCAAAGGAGTGAGATGTGTACTTAGAGGATTTTGGTAATTTTTGCATGACTGGGTATGTATTTCAATAGGAAATGCCAGAATGACTATTTGCCTAGTGGATGTGACATCTGCTGCCATAGAAATAAACTACTTAATTGTTTGGGGTTGTCTTCACACTTAAGTAATCAATCATTCTCTTTCCCTCAGGGTGACTCTGGTGGCCCACTAGTACAAGAAGATTCGCGGCGACTTTGGTTCCTTGTGGGGATAGTAAGCTGGGGGTATCAGTGTGGTCTTCCAGATAATCCAGGAGTATATACTCGAGTGACATCTTACCGAGATTGGATAACCCAACAAACTGGAATCTAGTGCAATAATTACAGATCTGTTGCTAAGTCTGTATGCAAGTGTGCCTTTATAAAATCCCAAAGATTTTTATTCATCCACAAAAGAAACTGAAAGTGTTCCATTTTAAAATCCTGATACATATATATGGTTTCATAAACATATTTAATCTATGTTACTGCAGATGTTATGTTTTCTTAAGAAAACTATATGCATGTTGCATAGTACCATGGAGTGTGTCAGGGGAAACATAGCCAAGTAGTTAGAGATAATTTTACTGTTGTGATAGGTGCTAGTGTAGAGAAAAAAAGCTATCCTGAGATTGGGTACTAGAGGAATCTGGACAGGTCTGCTGGGTCAGATGAGTCTTCTCTCTTGAAATCGGTAAGTGCGAATAGTGTAGAAATTTGCAGAAGTAGTGGATAACATTCAAAACAGAACAGCATGAGGCAAGAAAAATGTCATTTGAAATTTCTGGTTACTCAATATTTTACAGATGGAAGTCTTAAATATATGAAATCATTGTATACTCCTACAGCAATCATTTTTTTATCCTGTAAGAACACGTTCCAATAGGAACTGACAAAGCTGAGACATTTAAGATCAAAGTTAAATTATTCGCCCCTCAAGAAGAACAAATTATAATTTTTATAATGAAGTTCATTAAAAATATCCATCATCCCTGTGAAAGAGAATTTATCTCTTCGATAGATTAGCTGAGAAAATATAAACATATAATATTTTCAGGTAACTTAAAATTACACAATGCTTTCTAACAAGTAAAATCATTTCTAAGAACTAAAGATTACCAGTCACAGTTATTATTGAGAGTTTAATGATCCTCAATAGGTAAATCCAAGCAAAGAGTTAAAGGTCTTTGTAGAAAAAGAATTGGTGCATAAAGAGGAAGATTAGGTTAATTTAAACAAAACTGTCTCAAAGGAACTTTTCTCTCTCCCTTTTTCCTTTCTTATACACATACACACATGCATTCACACACATACACAAAACCAAAGAACATAAATAAAACCCATTAAAAATTAATGGCACACCAATATATAGAGTGTGAATCACATATGTTACTGGCTTTTTATGGGATCCTCACACAGCCAAAGCTTGATTATACGTAACCATCTATGTGTCAGGATTTCTTCATTATAAAAACTAACTCACACCACCTGGTTATCAGAACCACTGCATTGTCCATGCACTAATGAAATCTTTATGTATTTCCTCATGTAAAATTGTGAAAATTACAATGAAGTAATTTGCTTTTAAGGAAAGAAGTTGAACATTTAACTTACTCTTGGTGAAATGTACAAATTCTTGGTACACCTTATTTCAAATAAACTCTTATTCATTTCCTGCCTAAGTATTTATGGATGTTATGATTTATGCAGGACAATCCAAAACAATTTATTTAATTGGTTCTCCAATGAGAGAACTGCCAACTAGACTCTAAAGGCTTGGCACTTTCTGTTGCCTTATAATCAAGCTCTATAACTAAGGCAAGCGTCCAGCTTGACACTCCCTGGCTATACCCTGTGAGCACAACATTAAACTTGTAATTTAGAGGAAGCCTCAAGGGGAATGTGTTTTTGTGCATCAGTGTATGTGTGTGTGCACGCATGTGTGTGCATGCTTTCACAGAAGCAACCATTTTTGATTATTCATATATACTGGAAGCTATATATTATTCATATATACTGGAAGCTATAAAAAGTGCTTTTTAGTAGAAAAGAGCAAATTCAACTACTGAAAATAAAATGTTAAATAAATATTCATATTTTATAGGGAAATATGCCAGCAAGATACCTGTTTGAAAAGCTGCTTTTTCCCTTTTTCTTTTTTATTGAGGTAATGTTTCTTTTTTATTGAGGTAATTTTTTATTGAGGTAATGTTACATTGTTATTTGTATTGTGGGGCTATCAGACACCCCTTTTGAAAGCCACCCACCACTAAAGCACCTGTGGTGCACCCTTAATCCATTGTGTTCCCTCCCAAGAGTTTCTTTTTTATGCACTGAGTTTCACTTTTCTGATAGAGATATGACACCAGAAAACAATTTTTGAGTATTACAAGAGGGATTTTGATTCATATATTCTTTCAGTCCTTAAAAAAATCAATCTGAGGGCCTCCCCGGTGGCGCAGCGGTTGAGCGCTGGGTTGCGAAGCTGCCCGCAGCCTCTGCAGCAGTTCGATCCCCGGCTGCTCCCCGTCCACCGGAGGAGGGTCCCGCATGGCGCGCAGACCGGTCCCGCATGGCGCGCAGACCTCTCCTGCTGCCCGCTGCTCCCCTCAGCAGTGTACTTCGGTCCTTCTGCCTGCTCTGCTCCCCGCTCTGGCTCTGGTGAATTCTCTCACCCTCCCACGCTTCTGACTGTACCCAGTGCTTATATAATAAATAAATAAAATAAAATCTTAAAAAAAAAAAAAAAAAAAATCAATCTGAAAACACTAGCAGAATTTTTGCAGCACCCCAATACCAGAGTAACTAAAACTATTCAAATGTAGAAAACACACATACCAATCAGTTTAAAAAATGACAAAGTGAATATGTGATTTTGAGAACTTTTTGTTATGCAAAAGGTACTATTAAAGGAATAAAAGAGTGAGAGAGATGTTTGTAGTACATATAACTAGCAATGAACTTACATCTAAAAAGTATACAAAATGAGTACAAATCAATCAATATAAAAATGGAACAAGCACATCAGGGGAAAAGAAAAATCAAAGTGGTCAATAAATTTAAGAAAAGGGACTCAACCTTATTATCGGTGTTAACTCTTACATATTTAAACATATCAGTGTACATGGTTTAATTTGAATATTAGGTCTTATTTCTTCTATAATAGGTAATTTTCCTAAATTATAGTTTTCAAGGGAAAATAAAAAGATATATATAAGCTTATTTTGTAATAAGAGACACACTCAAATGATTCAGAGCAATAGTTAAATAATTGTACTTGCAATGATAAAATGAAAAATTTTTTAAAGGGTCTATGGGAAATGTTATTCATAACTTGCCATACAAGCATATCATCTGGTAATAAACATGTTTTAAGTATCAAAGGTTAAAATATTTTTAGTTTAATTGTAAACAGAATATTTGTAATAGTCCTTAGAAAAGTACTTAGGAAATCAGTCTTCCCAAGGTTTCTTTGCTGCTCATTTTCTACCTTTCCATGTGTAGTCCCATTCTATAAAAGATAAAATTAGGAATAACTTTTTACAACTTTTATAATTTACAATGCTTTCATAAATGAAGTCTGCAAGTAAATATTTATTAATAGTCTAAACACATTAATAATATAAATATTATAAACATAACATTATGACATTAGTGATTTATTTTCCTGTTTTGTTCTATTAGGGAAAATGATCAGGACTTCTATAAGCTAGTTGTTCCTTCACTTGATTTGCAACAAGAAAGGAAACTATCAAGAATAATGGCCCAACTCTATGGCTATGCAAAATGTTAGAGAAGTTCAGTGATATGACCAAGCTCACAGCTGGAAATGGCAGAACACAGCTCAATTGCTGGTTCTGTGACTTAGTTGTTCACACTATTCTTCCACTCACAAAGCTCTACTGAAGGACCATTTTACTTCAGGAAAAATTAATTTTTTTAATAAATTGTACAAAATAGGCAATGTAAACCTCTGATGTATTTTTTTAGATCGATGAAAATAGAATAACACTAGGGTATTGGCACAGGTGGTTTGTGGTAGAGAGTAAGCAGAACATGTGCACATATAGAACAAAAATGTAGTACAAAAAATTAAAATTAAAATTAAAAATAGAATAACTCAAAACCATAAAAATTAAAAGGGAATTTTTGCTTGGAGATATGTAACCAGGTAATTGATTTCACAACCAATTGTGCATTCTACAAGCCTTTTAGAAACTTTTATAGTATTCCTCACTTTTTTAAAAATTATTGAAATACCAATTTTCACATCCTTGCTAGTTTTTTGACAGTACAGGATTTTTCCTCTCAGGTGTAGTCACTATAGCCCTGCCACCATCTACAATCACAGTCTGCCACCACAGTCCATTGTGCATTTCTACCACCTCCCTGTAAAAACCCTTCCCCTCCACGTCAGAGACCCTCAGATCTATGGTCAGCTTTCACAAGATGTCTTTCTCACACTAAAAGAGTACCACTTTTTAACAGAAATGCAAAATCCTCTTGAATTTTGAGTTCCCAATCCTATTAACTGAAGGGCTTCAGTTAATAAACTGAAGGACTTCAGCTACCTCGAATATGACTAACAGGGTAGTTAAAGGTTTTTCTTTTTTGAATGGATTGCACTGAACTTCATACCAAACAAAATCTGATTGTGAAAAATTAAAGTGTGAAATCTCCAATGCTATACCCTTTTCTCACTAACATTCATATTTTCTCATTAAGTGAATGCACACAGATCAGATATAGTACTTTAAGTTATTGGTAAAACTAATTTCTTATTAAAATGCCATCTGGATTTCTTTTTAATAAAGCATAACTATAACATTATGAGGTGAGTTTTTGTAATATTACAAAACTCATGGGTAAAACTCATGATATAAACACAGTTTCTCGAAAAACTGAACATTAATATATTGAAACTGTAATAGCTGACATTTTCAAATCTATCCTACTACTAAAGTCTATAGACTTGTATCTTTATTCTGTTACTCTATTTTTTATTTCTTTGTTCTGTTAAAACTTGCTCTAGATAAAATCATTTTATAAGACTGTTTCATGACAGAAATGATTTTGCCAGAATACTCCCAAAAAAGCTTATTTGCTGGGTTACTCCAGTATAAATGGTTTTCAGTCTCTTCACCAATTTTGAAGTTATAATTCAGTTAATAAAATTTACCTTAATATAAAATTTATAAACATTTCCTCACTAAATGTTCTATTTCATTGGGGTATCTATCTTTGCTAATAAAACCATGGGAGCAAAATTTCTGTTTTCCCAGGATTTTTTTTTTAATATAATGTGTGATGATGGACAAAGTAAACGTTACCAGA